TCAACTAAAAAAGTATGAACACATTCGAAGAAAAAGATACTCAGAATAAACATTAGAATAGTTGTCCATGGTTGGGGCAGGAAAAGAATGGGGGTGACCATGGGGGTAAAAGGAAATCATGAAGACAAAACAGGGAACTTGCAAGAATCAAAGACAACAATGCGTCATGAGCAGTGCAACGATTCAGCTCTCTCCTCTCGAGATCCAAAATTATGTACATTTAAAAGATTAAATTTTTATGAAAAAAGAGTATGAAAACAATTATATGTAGGTATATGGATGACTGAAACATGCATACACCAGAAATCAATGCATTGTAACTGACTGTACTTCAATAATAAATAAATAAATAATCAGCGCTTTAAAAAAACGATAATTTTTTTAAAAAGGTAAAATCAACTATAAAATGTACCTGTGTCAAATACTTTGACTCATTAATGAGGTACCCAGGAAGATGTTATAACCAGTTAAAAGGACAATATAAGGAGCAGAGATTTGTAGGGAACAGTTATCTGAAATAACTTTCCAAATCGATGAGAAACAGATCTAGCCGCAAAATGGATCTATCTACTCATCTGTGCAGTAATTAATGCGTTTCACTGGACACAATTAGTTTGCATTTCTTTGGACAAGAATCATTTATATTATCAGTTTTCTACAATGAACAGAATTATTAAAAAGAAAAAAAAAACAGCAAGTCGAAGATAGTGAAAGAAGAGCTCCCGGGATGCGTGAGCTACAGAGAATGCCACCCTTTAGCCTCTCACACTTTTTCTGAGTACATCAACGAACAAATTCGTAAAAAGTACATATATGTGTACACACACATACATAAATTTTGGCATTGGGGGGTCTGAATAAAACACATATTCAGGCTTGTTTTACCCCGGGAACCTTGAGTTTCCAAGTGCTGATTTAGAATGTTAAAGGGACTTTACAGGTCATCTATTTAAAAAACGTTTCAGCCTACAGGAATGCCACTTTCTTGTGGATTCTAGCCACCAGTCGGCGGGAGAGATACATTGTAAGAGGCAGCATTTTCTTCCAAATGCCTAGAAGTCACCCCACCTCAGCAGCCCATCTTGCTGCTGGTGTGGTTGGCCCTGATTCTGGAATCTGGTTTCACTGTGTCATTTAAAAAATCTCATATGAGAGGTGCTTGTGTAGACTTCTTTTTTTAAAAAAATTTTATTTTATTGAGTTATAATTAGTTTACAATGTTGTGTCAATTTCCAGTGTAGAGCACAATTTTTCAGTTCTACATGAACATACGTATATTCATTGTCACATTCTTTCTCACCATGAGCTACCACAAGATCTTGTATATATTTCCCTGTGCTATACAGTATAATCTTGTTTATCTCTTCTACATATACCTGTCAGTATTATGTAGACTTCTGATAGAATATCAAGATCTCATTTCTGTGGTTGTTTGTCTTGCTAGGTTTCTGTCTCCGGCAGTGGGGAGAAGATGCAGCCCGATTCTTGATCACGAGCCAGGAGGAAAGGCAGAGAGCTAGCTCTCAATTTCACAAAAGGAACAAAGCCTCATTTATAGCACACCGCTGTGCACGCTGGAATTTCATGAGTCAGTCGATAAGGATAATTAAACAGTGTAGGTCAAGGACCAGACACCATCATTCAACCCCCTGCAAATCCATTAGGCAAAAGCTTGAGAAACATTATTTAAAAGCTGCAATATTTAATCACTGGTGAATTTTTTAAAAGTGCTCTATTGCTGCTAAACAATGCTGAGAAAGTAATAAAAGGCAAAACCTCAGCCACATGACTTTGTTAAAAAAATAATTAACTTCAAGACATAGTAATGGTCTTTGTCTTTTTTTCTCTGTATGAATTCCTCATGCTCCTGCTTTGATTCTGTAGTTTCTTCTCCCTGGCTTCTCTCCTTAGAATCCTTGTTCCAGGAAGCCCTCTCTGAGGACTGCAGCATGCTCATTTTTTTCCCCATCCTAAATCCTAAGTCCCTTTAGCTCTTTTAATCCATTGTTTCTTCTAGAACTTTTATGAATATTGACTTCATTGGACTATAATTCCTGTATAATAAAATGCACCCACATTGGATGTAAGTTTGATGGGTTTTGGCAAATGGATACGCCCCAATAACCACCACCGCAATCAAGACAGAGACTATTTCCATCACCTCAGAAAGTTCCCCTGCGACCTGCTTTCTGTCACTGTGGTTAGTTTTGCCTGTTCCAGGGTTTCACATCGATGGAGTCACGCAGTGTCTGCTCTGGGTTCCAGATTATTCCGCGCAGCATAATGTTCTTGAGGTTTGTCTACATTGTTGTGTGTGTCAGTATTTTGTTTCTTTTGATTGCTGAGCTGTATTCCATTGTGCAAATAGACCACAATTAGTTTATCCACTCATCTGTTGTTGGTGATGTGGGCTGTTTCCATTTTTTTGCTACTATAAATA